CCCATGTCTCGCGCTTAAAAAAAGATCTCTTCCTATGTGTTCGCCGGCTGGGCTTCCCAAGGCGACATATGTTGCGAGTCTTTTCTTCCTTCATAGATAACCTCATCTCGTATTGCATCACAGTATGGCACTCCGGAGCCTCATCTTTATTGCTCAAGACGGCTCAGGTCGCTCAGAATAACTCCCTCCGTGCCGTATTCGGTCTCCCTCCTTGCTGACCAGTGTTCTCGCTCAAACATCTATATACTTTCCGTTTGGCATGTTTCGCCTTCCAATTGATGAATGAAATATCTCGAGGCCTGACCTCAATCTCTCCTCGCCTTGTATCTTCATTACGTGCAAGCCGTAGACTCCTAGTCGAAGCCCGGCATATGCGTTTCAAATCAACCCGAGCATCTCCCCTCGACCCCGTTGATGTCTGGAATCAAAAGATACCCGAAAAGGTTCCCTTGTTCGGTTTGAATGGTAAGCTTATCACGTATCTCCCCGACGGAGATCGTCGAATGGTTTTCTCGGAAAACTCGTTCAATTCCTCGTTTGCTGCCTCGTCTCCGTCCTTGAAGAATGGTTCGATTCCCATAACCTCCGTTTCCCATAAGAACGACAGGTCCTCCCCATCGGCCTTGACTTTCGAGATAACCGCTAAGGACGTGCAGGCTGTTTTTTCCGATGTTTTCCCATCTGCCGACCAGGAACTCCTTTTATTTCTAATTGTTTCCATCAACCATGGATTCGTTTGAGGGTTTTGTTGCGTGGTTCCGCAGAGGAAGTATCCGAATAGGGTTTCGAACGCAATGAGTCCATTCGCCTTTTTGATATCGCAACCCAGAATTGGATATAATGAATCTACTCCTATCAGAATGTCAAGTTCAGTTGACCAATCGCCGTCGTTTCGATCTGCTATCGGGTTTAGATTCCCGCAGAAACCCGCGTTTGGGAGTGACCCCCTGATAACGGTTTCCAATGCTGTTGCTCTAATGGTCACCTGTTGAGTAGAGAACCTGCTCTTCAGGATTACTTCCACTATCCGTCCCTTGCATTTTCGTGGGTTCGCGTATCCAGCC